TACTACGCTGCCTAAAGATGCCTTTCAAGTTATTACAGTACTGGGCTTCATTTAGAAGAAAGATTCTTTCAGGCTGATAAAACTCGATTTGTGTTGCTGGGAATAAAAGGGGCAGCCTGGCTGGATACAACAGGAAAAATGAACCATTTATAGTCTAGAAGAATGTTCAACAGAATGTCGCATTCAATTCTTGACATTCAGTTAATAAGAAACAGTTCCAGTTGTTAAACACATGAAGTCTCTGATACATGTGGAAAATGTTAGAACTGTGTGTGTGATGCTTTTGGGTAGGTATCAGAATATTTGATAACATCTGACTGGTGTTAGAAGTAGCAAAACCCACAGAGATTATGCCCTGTGAGGAATGCAGAATACTGGGTTTAGTTCTGTCAATAGTCAGCCAGCATTTAAGTGCATTCAATTTACTTTCATTGATTTGTTCGGTTTCTTCACAAAGGACGTGCCAATTACATTTGAAAGAGAATTACCCCAGTATGCTTTCAAAATTATTTTAGACTTCATAGAAATGCATTGAATAAGTTTAGAGAACAGCTCTCTACAGAAGAGCTCCTGATTTAGCTAAAACAAAAAAAAAATCAGCGCTTCATTGAGCAAGTCATTCACAAAGATAATCCTACAAATACATTGGTCTGTAAAGTCCTGCATAATATTGCAGGTGCCTGTTCATAGTGAATTTCCTTAATTATAATTAGTAAGCATGATTTACTTTCTGTGGAAGACTGAGCTGGTTTGGGATTTTTAAGGCCTCTTTGGAAATTGCTTAGCAGTGTTAGGTTTGGGACAGCTTATGCAGTCTAGATAGTCACATTTAATTGCTATGCTATCTCATGTTTCTGATTATCCTTCTATTTTTTAATAAACTGATTCTAGCAGAATAGAAAATTGAGAAATTTAGTAGTGTATCAGGTCATGTGTAATACCTTTTTTATTCGCTTTTTTATATGTCACCTTTGAACCACAAGTATTTTAATTTGTTTCTGTGTGTGTGCACACGCGTGCGTGTATGTGTTGATTTTGGAGTGATGCCCAGAGTTTCCCAACTCACATTTGAGGACTGTACTGCTTAGGTGCTATACAAACACAACTGCTGTTCTTGTGAGGTTGTATTAATAGTCTTCCACCTGTAAAGGCAAACTTCTTGTTATGATTTTGGTTATACAAGGCTGAGAGGTGAAGTAAAATATAATTTTAGAAATTCCCTGTTGCTGAAATAAGTTTCGTAAAAAATACAAACTTAAGTCTTTTTTTTTTTTTTTGTTTGGATATCTCGTGGAAGATGCAGGGGATGAAGAGCAATTCATTAATAGCAGAGTTGGTCAGGATATTTTTCATGTAGTTGAGACAAAAATGATTAGTCTTTGGGTGAAGTTCAAGAAATGGAGTTGCATTTAGAATTAAAATACGTGTTTTACCTACAGCATTGGTATCTAAAGAGGAGGATTTTCCTCTCTACATGACTTTGGCTCTTTGGAGTTGTGATTAATGTGAACTGCAGGATTCATACTGCATTTCAATCTGAGCGCACTTTTTGCCTAGTTAACTTTTCCCATGTTGCTGCAAGTTGAGTTTGAGTTTCTATTTAGCTTGAAGACTTATAGATAATATGACTTTTTTCCTTCTGTTGTTTTTATTTAATTGCTGAATTGGAGAAGTAGTAGACTTCCTAAAAGAATTTGTAATTTTGATTGTGTATTTTAGCATTGTGTGTTTAGAATGCTTCATATTTGTCAAGGGAACCATTAATTTGTGATATGGTAGAACATTAGGTTCATGAGTAATTGTGCATGTCCTTGTAATAACTTTAGAATTAGAAGTAATGACACTGTTAAAGTCAGCCTGTACATGCGTGGTGTGATGCAGGAGAAAAGGATCCTCTCTGCCTCCTGCTGATTTGTTATACAAAGAATGAAAGCTTGCACACAAGAACCTAACTGTACTCATAATCTCAGCGTCTGGAAATATAGCTGAGATAAGGTTGACAAAACTAAGGATTAAGTGATTGAGGAGAGTGCAAATTCAATCCCAGACAAGGGTGGCGTGGTGATGTACTTCCCTGTAAGTCCAAGCATTATTACTGGTTTCCTCTGGGTCTGAAGGCTCTTAGAGATCTTGTCAAAATGATTTCTTGAGTAAATCCAGAATACTATTCTGAGGCAGTGCTGCTGTCAACCTGCATGTGTGTTAGTCAATGAAAGCAAAAATTCTTCAAAATATCGTTTGTGAGGTTTTTCTCCTGCTAAACGTGGGACACTAAATAAATAAACTTTTCATTCTAATCTTATTCAGGTATTTATCTGTCAGACTTGACGTATATTGACTCTGCCTACCCATCAACAGGGAGCATTCTGGAAAGCGAGCAAAGAACAAATTTAATGAACAACATTCTTCGAATTATCTCAGATTTACAGCAGTCGTGTGAATATGGTAAGCTAGTGTGTAAATATTGCAGCATTAAAGAGAACAATTTAAAAATCTTTAATATATGTCTTCTGTAAGGCAATGTAAGTTATGGCCCAGCCCATTGGAATGCCATTAACACTCCCTCACCCTCTCAGCCCAAAAATCTAAGTTTATTCTGGTACTGTTGGTTATGACAGAGCGTCAGTGTGAGGAGACAATAAAATTATCCTTTTCCTATATCACACACACTTTCGCAGTACATATTTTCTGATGGAAAATGTGGGATATATTGTACTTAACAGTAGTTTTATTAGTACATTATAAACTTGTTATCCCCATGTTTGATAGTTTTATGACTATGAACTCAAAAAATAGTAGGATTGCTTTTGGAGTAGTACTTTTACTGGAGATAATAAAATACATTGTTTGTCTTTTGGACATTTATTGTTCTGTTTATAGGCTAGATAATGTATTTTTTTATTCAAAGGTTGTCTCCCTCACAATCCTCTTCAAGTTCTAGTAAAGTTGTAAGGCTGTGTTTGTGATGGTGGAATGTGAAATTAGCACAGGACTGTGGCTTCACTGAAAGCTCAATATAATGAGAATGTGGGCTGTGAAGGAGTCTTCATACACAACCCTCCAGGTTTGGGACTTCAGTTTGGCCAGGGGTCGCTCTCACTTTTCCCTTACGTGTGCTCTTGTAAGTGGAGCAGCTCTAGGGGGATACAAACCTGGCTTTATGGATGTGGGGAACGTCAGCTCAACGCAGAAGAATTGCTATGAAGGACAAAAATTTCAGGATCAGTAGGGACTGTAGTTTGTACCTTCATCTCACATAAAAAGGCAAGAGATCCGATTCTGTTTAAATAGGTTCTGGAAAATAAATTTGCTTACAAATGAATGGTACAGTGATAATGAATGTCATCTGTTCTCCAGATATTCCTCTGTTGCCTCATGTCCAAAAATATCTAAACTCAGTTCAGTACATAGAAGAACTACAAAAGTTTGTAGAAGATGACAATTACAAGTAAGTATGAAATGATATAACTGACTGTAACTCATTACAAAATAACTTTTATAATATGAAGCCTGTCACTTTCAAGATTGCACTTGTTTCAGGGGATTATTCACCTCAGATGCACCAGTTGCAAGTAGTGAGGTTACAGCAGGGTCCTGTGCTCAAGACAATCTTCAGCATGCTGGATGGCATATCTCCTTCCTTTTCTATGCCTGACTGCATCAAGCCCTAGCTTTCGGGTCTGTTTGGTCTTTTGATTTGATCTGCAGACCTCTTTGAGTGTTTGCTAATGAAGACTCCATATTTCTGGCTCACGTGTAACACTGTTGAGTCAATAAGATGGATCCTGTGATTGGAGATACCTTACGTCATTTTCACCAGAACAAAGTCATCTGTGTGTCCAGTCCCAAGTTCTTGCTGAGTGAGACTTGAGGTTTTCACTTTCATATATATTTCGCTTTCATTTCATATTTTTCTCTTTGATTAGGTTATACAGTGCAAGTAAAATGTAAACACTTGATTTTTTGAGAGGCAAAATACTGCCTGTGTCCCCACCCATTCCTCCCAGCATACCACCCAAAACAGAGGTTTCCACTTCCTTAATTAAAAGATTATTGCTGTATTAAGTGATTTGGCATCCAGCAAAACTGGGGAATGGAAAACTCTGGCATGAGACAGAAACAAGTCCTGAGGATAGGAAAAAACCTAAAGCAAATCTGTTGCGTATGAAGAAAGTTTTTGTTCATTGGCTGATCTACTTGAGGTTCCCCACCCATTCCCATCCTGCCTGCCTGGGAAGTTTGTCACCTCAGTTGTGTAGAATTCGTTGCTTGTGTAGTCACATTCAAACAGTGGGAGGGGTACGCACGCTACAGGAACAGGTACACGTTACCATTTAACAGCCCTAACTTGGATTTACTAAAAAGCAGCAAATGGGGACCCCTCAGTTTATGTCAAAAAACAGTAAACGAGAGCTCAGACACATGGCTTCCCTTCTAAGATTTACAAATTGTTCTCTGCATTTTCATGTGTGAGCATCTGGCTTTATCTTTTTGCTGAAATGTTCTGTAGCCTGATTTTGAAAGTATTGCTTGCTTGCACAGAGTGTAAAGCTCTGTGGTCAAACACTTGAAGAAAAGAAAAGGGGAAAAAAAACCAAACCAAAACAAAACAAAAACCCACCCAAACCTAAGTTTCTTAACTGCAGTGTCTGCTTCTTAGCAGCATATTATTTTCATGAACTACACACTCCACCTTTCTCCACCTTCACTAGGTAGGACTCGCTACTAGTGGGAATTTTATTGTGGAAGAAGCTACAGTCTCTTCATCCTGTACAACCCATATTTTGATAGCGAGGAAGTGAATGGAGACAATTGCACATGATGCAGAAACATGACCACTATTCAGAAAGTCTGGTTTTACACCTGTGGATTTTGTACGTCTCCAAACTGAATTTTTTATGGGGGTATCTTGAAGAACTATTCTTACTATAAGTGACTATTTTACTTTTTATCCCCTAAGGTGTCTGCAGAAAGGCTGAAAAGAACAGCCATTGTGACTTGAATACATGATTTTTCTTCCTAAAGGATTTTATTTTATTAAAAAAATAGATTTTTAAAAAATTTAATGAATTGTTGCTAAACTGGCTGGGGATGGGAGGGAGAGGAGCTGTCAAACTTCAAACTTTTTCATCCCAAAATTAAGTATATGCTTTTCCAATCCTGCTAATTTCAAAGTTTCTAGTTCTGCAAACTGAGTGGACAAGATATGCTTGATCTTCCTGGATTGCTCTGCTCCTGGAGTCTGCCCTCTTTGTGGTACTGTTGGAAATAACATTAAAAAGTGCCTGTTATGGGGGAAAAAAAAAAAAAAATAAAAAAAAGAAAAAAAAGAAAACCTCTTAAATTATGGATGCAGTCAAATTGATAATGTATTTTCCAAAACACAAAATAAGGATTTTGGCTTTTAGACCAGTAAACACCAAAGGCTGGGCCCAGCACACTCGTGCTCTTTTTGGAAAACTTTAAAATACGAAGAGTAGCAAATATAAATATCTTAGCCAAAGTGGGGGTAGCATTTGCGTACTTTTTATTCTTCCCAGTTTTTATGCTAGAGTAGTGGTATTGTCGTTTGAGTTTCATGCTTTTGGTGGCGGTCCCAGGGCTGCGTAATCCTGGTTTATGCACAGCTGTTTTCCTTGGAGGGTGATGCCAACACTGAGCAATGGCCTCTTTCCCTTTTTTTATGGCTTTCCACACCTTGTTAACAGCTCGTGTTGGGCTTTTGCCCACAGAGGGTGAGGATCGCAACTGGTGGCTGCTTGTGGCTGGCGGTGCCAGCTGCGTCACGCTCCCTCCTGTAGAAGAGGCTGCGGGGCTCTGCTGTAGCCAAGGTTTAGCTGTTGAGTCTGGTCCTCCTTCAGCATGGTATTGCAAACCTGTCCCGGTCTATATGAACCAAAGCAATAGACTCATTTGCTACATTATGTCCTAGCACGTCATTTTGTGAATCCTGGGCCATGTTGCCGTAGTAGGGCTTTTTCCACCCCAAAAAAAGTGTGTTTGGAAATAGTGTGTGGTAAAGATAACTATGCATGGTCTGTATGAACTTTGTAGTGTTTCTTGCAATTATAGAAACAGGCAGCTTTCAATTGTGAATTTAAAAAAAAAAAAATCTTCAAAAACTTACTTTTATATGCTTCTGTTTCCTGATAAAGTAATTTTTAATGCTTCTTTAATGCAGACTATCATTAAAGATAGAACCAGGGACCAGCACCCCCCACTCTGCTGCTTCCAGAGAAGATTTAGTAGGTAAATGCTTAATAAATGTTAGAAGACTTGAGGTTGTGAAATGCATTATGTTTGAGTTGTGAACATGGATAATATTTGCCTGAGGCTAATAAAGAAGTGTGAAGTATAAACACTGTATATTTGTAATAAGAAGTGTAAAGGTGATCAGTAAAGAAATTCTTTCAAGGAATTGAGTCAGTGTTTGTATGTATTGTGGCACTAACTTGTTAGTGTCATTTGGGGTAAAGAGCTATTAAATATTCATTCTTTGTTGTGTCTAGACAGAAGGGCCTTCATATAAACCTTTCCTGGTATAATGTGCTTCCAAAAATGTACGTTATTTTTGATCAATGCCAAAGGTTGTTGAAGGCAGGAGTTTCAAAATGTAGAATCAGTGGGACCTGTTTAATGCCAGTGTAGCTAACGCGGCAACCTTTAGGACTTACAAAATCCTTGTTACTAGATGGTCTATTTGAAATAAGTGAGTTTTTAATCCTGTGCCAAAGTACAGGGTTTTTAAATTATCAATATCAGTACCTCGATGAGTTTTATTACAGGCTATCTCTTACAAATTGAGTTTAGGAGGTTTTGTGCAACTCTTCCACAATTTTCTGGCAAGTAACCCTGACGGTAATTCTAAAGTTACTCGGGAGTAATGTCTTTTTTGTTCCCAGGCTCGGAAGTTGGAGCGTCTCCACAAAGTGCACGGAAAAATGTTGCAGCTGAAGGAGCCTTGCTACCACCAACACCCCCTTCGCCTAGGAACCTGATACCACATGGGCATAGGAAATGTCATAGTCTGGGATACAAGTCAGCATTTTTTTTTTTAAACTGAGAATCCTGAGCTTTGTGATGTATTATCTTTAAATAGAAAAAGCTTTGCTTTTAAAAAGTAGCATGATATGTACACAATACTTCACAATGTGTGGCAAGAGACCAAGCTCAGAGCTATAATGGTAGTATCCCAACCAAAGAGAATTAGTCAGATTAGAGAATTAGGCTGTTACAATGTTAAGAATAGCCAATGAGTTAGTCAAAATAGGCTCTTCTGAATGACAAAACTGTCCCTTATAACAACTCAACGCTAGTGTAATTCTTTCAAATACAAACTGAAATAATTGCTTTATTGGTATTTTTATGATGAGACCTCCTTTGCAGACTTTCATATACCTTTGTATGGTAATGGTTTCAGGTTTTTTCTATATAGGTGTACTTCCGATTAATATCTTGATCATTTTATCATCAATTCCCTTGTCATCTTTTCAAAATGCAGTAATTAATCTCAACTTATATTGTGTAAGTTTACCTTTAATGAGCTAGCATGTGATTCTAAAGCTCAGTTACGTGTTATAGTAAGACAACAATACCTTAGGATATTGAAAGTAATTTTTAAAGTACTCCTGACTTTCTCTTTGCTCCAAGAGCACTGTGCAGTTTTAAGACTAGCGATTCCTATAGATAGTATAGTTTATGCACAATTGCTTGTGACTTGAGCCGTGATTTAATTTGGTTTTCAGAACACACTACATGCAATCCTTGAGGGTGTTAAAGCAACAGCTTTTGAAATGTATCAAAGATAATGTTGTAACAGTCTTGTCCTTGTTCATTTCTAGTTTCATACACAAAATGAATACAGCTGAATTTAAAAGCGCAACATTCCCCAACGCAGGACCAAGGCATCTACTGGATGACAGTGTCATGGAGCCTCATGTCCCATCCCGAGGGCAGGCAGAAAGTTCCACCCTTTCTAGTGGAATTTCAATAGGTAGGAACTGTAAACATACCCGTGCAGTATGTGGTCTTTTAATAAAGATTTTGGCGCGATTAGTTGGCAATTGTGCAAGCAGTGGTACTATTCTAAAATAAAAATTCTATTTTAGAACAAACTATAGAAATGTAGGTGGAGGGCAGTATAATTTATACAGTGTGAACTGCGTGCTGACAAATTATAAAAAGCAGGGGTTTTTTTTGTATCCCCTTTAATGATACAACTGCTGTTACTCCACCTCTTCCTTGATGGGGATGGCAGGAAGCTCAAGGCAACATTTCCTATTCTCTTCCACCTTCCAAACCAGTCCAAATTCAAAATGTTTTGTGGTATGTTTTCTGTTTAAAATGCCTTATGAAACTGACAGTGAGAACTGTATGTTGCTGACAGTCTTTAACAGCATAATTTGTAAATATTCCTTACTTTTGTCAGGAGTTTAACTTTCAGATACTTCAGAATGTCAGAATCTATTTCATTTTGTTAAGTTACTGGTCTTCAAATGTTTAGGGTGTTCCCCTTTCTAGAACTTCTGCTTCCCGAGTTTCTTATGTGACAGCAGTTGCTCTTTTTTTCCTATTACGCACAGATCCTTAAAGTGGAGGGAGAGCAGGGCAAGTGCCTCTCAAAACCACCTGACTGCAGCAAGGGTTGAGAAATGGAGCCTCTATCACAGTCCTTTTTCTCAAAATTATTAGCTTGATAGAATTTGATGTTCACTTTTTATGTGTTTATGGTAATACAGGATTTTTGTAGTGTTACGCATTTCTTTGTATAACTTAATTTTAAAAAATGGTTTTGCTTTTTAGCCCTCATGGAGAAAAGCGAGGTCACACAGTTTTTATGCTGTTAAATAAATTTATGTTGTTAAATAAATCTGTGGAACTAGCTTAGACCAAAGCAGTTTGAACCTGTTCAGGTCAGGCAGCTTCCACTAACAAATGTGCATTGCCTATCTCTGTTTTCTATAGGTTCTCTGCTCTGGCAAAGTTTGCCATTTTAGAGTCATCCAGCAGGAATTTTTTTTCCCAGAGTACAGACAGCTTGCGTTCTCAGGGATTGCATAGTACAGGAGATTAAAGCTTCTCATGCATCTACTACCCTCCAAGTGCAGTCTTCTCAGCATTATGCTGGATTTAAGGGGAAAAAACCATACTTTTGTCACCTTCATTGAGATATAGCATTGCCCTTTTCTCAGTGCCGTTTTCTACTGATGTTTTCTGTCTAAATATCTAAGAAACTTCTCTGCAGTTGATCCTTTTTTCCAGAGTAAATTATTTACCTCCATTAGAGCCTGGCAGGGAAGGTTTGCCAGAGCCAACAGGCAGTTTTTCATGAGTCAACCATCTAGACGCTTTGGAGAATACAGTGTTTCCCTTCTTTGTCTCATCTCTGAATTTTTCAACTCTCTTGTCTTGCTTAGCTGAGGCATGACCTCATCGACTTGATGTAGTCACCCTGACACATTGGAACAAAATTGCCACTTCAAAAGACTTTTATAAAGAACTTGTAAAACAGCAACCTTATGCATTTTGTGTAAGGTCAGCATGTGTGGTTAGAACTATCCCTCTCCTATTCTCTTCCACCTCCAGTCTCCCCATACTCCGATACTTTAGTGTTGTCAGTGTTTTGACAGTCTAGCATCATTGTTATTTTTCCTGCCTCTTGATTATGAAAATTTAAATGACACAAGAGATTATTAGAGGTGCTAGAAGTAGGTATGGAGGAAGAGAGTAAGTTCTGGAGGCTTGCAGTATCTATTACTGAAGAATTCTTGGAAATGTGAGCTGTCTGGCATTCTGTACTGCTGCTTCATTTAAGGAAGTTGATTGAAGCTGCTAAGTTCCTCCATGTTTGAAGTAGTCTGTTTACTCAGTACTTGGAAATAGTACAGTCACTGGAGCAGAGAGGAGGTTTACAGTATTCTACATCACAACTTCAAAAGACAGTCAAGAAAAGTTCTTCTGAATGTGTGTACTGAAAAAAACGTTATTCCTCTCCTTGCCCATAAATGTGGATTTAAACCTGTTGCTCTAGAAACAGGACTATCTTTTCATAGATATAAGCCTATATAGTATTTAACTTTTTGGATAAATGATCCCACTTCAAAACACGGGCAATGTTTCTGATATGCCAGCACCTCTAATATGACCTTAAAGATAACTGTAATACTACTTTAAATCAATCTTGTGTTTTGAGGGCTCGGAGATGTTCAGACACTACCAGTCCTTTCATGTTGGAGGATCTGATATAATCTACCTCTACATCAAATATCGAAAAAAAGCAACATAACAACAGTGTCTGTAGGATGTTTGTGGATATAATCTACCTCTACATCAAATATCAAAAAAAAGCAACGTAACAACAGTGTCTGTAGGATGTTTGTTTGCAGCACTGTTCTGTTACGATGCTTTACCTAAATTGTTAGAGCATGTGAATTCGTGCAATTTTATCAGGCCTTGTGTCTGAGTAACCATTGCTGTTAACAGATTACTGTAGTCTATTTACAATTCAGTAAAGCAATTTGTAGGCATGTTTTGAAGATTCATCAGAGTACCGTTTCTTTTTCCACTGGTGAACACACCAACTTCAGCTACATAAGGACTCTTCCACTTGGATTTCTTCCGTTGTCTCTCTAATAGAAACTTTCAATCTGTGATAAAGAGATCAGCATCACTAGGCTTGAGGTTTGTGGCTGGATGAAGTTCTGTTCTGCATGTAATCATATTAAAACCGAGCAGTTAAACCAGCAGTGCATGTGTCTGTAAACTAAAAATACACATTCAAGTCATGATGGGCAATTTTGGTTGTTTTGTGCTAGGGAAAAACTGATGATCCATTCTGGGAATGGTGAATAGCATGCCAAAATTTTCACATTAAGTGTAATTAATCTTTCAAATATGAAGGATACACTAAGTGGGTATTTTTCTTTGTAATGAATGATTTCTAAAGCAGCAGCAATGCAGAAAGTGACCCAGGTATGGGTCTTCTGGAAAATAGGCCTATCTGTAACATGAAAGCCATGGTCAGAGATCTTTATCAGATTCTTTTCTTAATTTCAGGGTCTGGAGTCTGATTGTGTATCTGCAACTCATTCTGCAAAAACTTAGAGCTTAAAAAAATTTAAAGATATAGCCCTAGTTATGTTAATTTCTTGTGCTTGGGTCAAAACAGTTCTTGCTCCTAGAACTATGAAACTGTGTTCAGCAGAGTATATTATGCTCAAGTGGGGGGTATGTACATCTGATTCTGTTGCCATTTTACCTATGTTATATAGGTGCTTGTTATCTGAAAAAAAAGTGAGAAATCTTTTTTCCAGCAGTGCCAAGACTATCCTAATTAGAAGGAAGAAACACTTGACCAGTCATACATAGAATTTCAGTTGGGAAATGTTCTCCTGAATTCAGAAATGTAACGAGGAAATAGTCTCTTCTAAGCTTTAGATGTTCGTAATTTAGACAGCTGCATTTGAGCCAGTTATTTGGAGCTCTCTATAATCACATCGAGAATTAAGCTCTTTCCAAGGATATGATTCATCTCATTCTTAGGTGGGGGGGCTAAAAAGAGGTTGTATGACTTGTGTCCTCAAAATGCTGCTTTTTCTGTTGACTGCAAAGAGACTTTTGGCAGATAACACATGAAAATACAGACAGATGAATACTGCTGAAAATACGCCTGTTTTGTGCAGACAATCCAGACTGTGTGCTTTTAGTAAATTGGGACAGATGCTTTTACTTTGCAGTGAAAGTGCATTGAGAACCCCCACTACTTGCTGTCATTAAGTCTTAAAGCTACAAGATAGTTTTGTTGTGATCCCTCTGTTTTGATGAGGTCACTGTATACACTTTTTTTTTCTTTCAAAAGAGTGAGCTTACCCTTCTGAGCTCTAAGCATGGCCCTTGGCTGGGTTGAAAGAACCACCTGCACGCTCTTACCAGCTGTTCTTCTGCACGTATTTGCCTGCTGCTGTCACCTCCCCACCTGGGAGCAGTCTTTTTTCAGTGGTGCCCAGTGATAGGACGAGGGGTAATGGGCATAAACTTGAACATAGGAAGTTCCATCTTAACATGAGAAGGAACTTCTTTACTTTGAGGGTAGTGGAGCACTGGCACAGGCTGCCCAGAGAGGTGGTGGAGTCTCCCCCTCTGGAGACATTCAAACCCCACCTGGATGCCATCCTGTGCAACCTGTTGTAGGTGACCTGCTCTGGCAGGGGGGTTGGGCTAGATGATCTCCAGAGGTCCCTTCCAACCCTAACCATTCTGTGATTCTGTGGTTTTACTTAGATTGTGTTCAACTCAGAAATAGCATGAAAATTCCTTTTATTCAGAAGTTTGGTTTTTTTAAGAATACATGGTTTTCTAATACTCCTTGATTTTTCATATACTTTTTAACTATTCTTTTCTTGCGTAATTGTGCTCTTAAGTGCATCAACGTCAACATTCAGCTCACATCATTAATGTTCTCAGAAGTTTTGGATTTCCACCATTTCTTACGATTTGGCTCACCTGCATTAGCAAATTCCTTTTCTGAAGCTGAATTTGTTTGCAATGGCTAACTGTCCAAATAATTCTGTAGCGGTAAAGGGACAGTGTAAAATAGACCCCTTTTTTCAGATATTGCTTCTGTGTGGCTTTTCTCCTTGTACGCCACTGGATGCAAAGTAATTTTGCTTAGGAGAGTTTTTTTAAGGGTGCATTCTCACATTTATGCCCCTTATGAATAGATGTCAAAGTATGAACACAGAAGTACTCAGCTGAAATTGACAATGTAATCTTAGATATTTAAAAACTAAAAGAAAACACATTTATGGATTATGTTTGTAGCAGTGTTGGATGCAAATCCTGTTCTAACTTTGAAGTGTTTTCTTTTTCAAACTTTTCTTACGCTTATTTTTCCTAATCTACAATGATATGGATAAAAGCTGGTGAACATTTACCTGCATTTGTGTGTTCCAATCACTTGAGAATAACTTGAGCCTTTATTCTAATGCAATCAGA